ATCTGTCCTGGCCCAGCTTAATGTGAACCACAGTTGACTCGTTAAGCATGTACTACCCTGTATTGTTGTTTTCTTTTCAATAAATTTATAAACCTAAAAATAGAAAATGTTTAATAATTTCTTATATTTCCCATAACACCTAACTCAGTTTTAGTCACTTACTTCTTTCCAATAAATGCTTTAAATCACAGATAACAAATGGAAGTGACTTTAGGGATCATCTAGGTCAAACTTTTCTTCTATATCTTTCTTATATGAATTAATACTCAACAATCAGAATGCCACCATATACTTTTTAGAACAATGGTTCCTAATTCCCAGAAAAAGAGATTCATATAGAATTTTAGATGTAATTTTAGGGATTTACAAAATCCCCTGAATCCAATTAATGAAGCTCGTACTTATGAATAATACACTATTGGGAATTTCCTGGAAATCCAGTGGTTAGGACTCTACTTTCACTGACGATGGCCTGGGTTTAATCCCTGGTGGGAAATAAGATCCTACAAAGCCACACAACACAGCCAAAAAAAGAAGAAAAATATATTATCAAGAACAAAAATAGGTGTCCACTGTTCTACTGTGTGCCAAGCACTATTCCTAATACTTTACATAGGAAGATATATGGCTGGATCATATTTCCCAGCATTCCTTGCAGTTAGATGAAATGATGTGATTATAGTTCTCCCCAGTGGAGAATGAAAGGAAGTGACAGGTAGAAGTTCTAGGCTGGTGCCCTTATGATGAGCCTCCTCCATACTCTTCACCAACTGCTGCAACCAGGATTTCTCAGTTACCAGCTCGGCCAACTGAGAGGACAATGCCATGGGGGCTGGTGGGAAAAGAAGCTGAAAAGTGCTTTGATCCCTAAATGACTCTAAGGAGGAAAGCCGTCAACATTGAGAACACCCTGCCTGGGTTGCCAGGTGAGAAAGGAAATTAACTTCCATTTTGTTTGAACCACTGTTTGGGGTAGATAACAGTACTTATTACAGAAGCTTAGATTACCATAATTAATACACATAGATCACCAATTAATCCCCTCAGCAGCCCCATAAAATTGTGCTGTTATCATCATCTCAATATTAGAGGTCAAGAAACTGAGGTACTAAGAACTTAAGAAACTTCCCTGACACACTTCTAGAAGCCAGATTCAAGCCATGCAGTCTGGCTCCAAGCAGTCAGGGTTCACGCACATTAAAAATTCTGCCAAATACCTCAAAAGAAACAATCATTCTTGTGTGTTAAGCCACTCTGCACCAGATTAACTTTTTACACCACTCCAATTCTAGCAGTTTAGGAATGACAGCCAATAGTGAGTGTCCCAGTTCAAAATGGCAACACCAACGACTTTACATTCCAGCCAATAAAAGTAAATTCTGCAAAGGGAATCCTCCTCCCCAAGATCAGGAACACCATCACATCATACCAAAGATTCTAGCACGGGGTGGGGCCAGAGGGCAGCAGGGGAATCAATAGGAGTTAGGGATATAGAAGCAAAGGAAAAATCCAAAGATTCAGACTCTTCTCAACTTCTCTCATTTTGTTGTTCAACACAGTATTTACTTTTACCGCATACAGAAATCTGGGTTTTCAAATTTTGAATGTAACAAAAAAGAAATACTGGTGGAAAATATATGGCAGATACATGAACATACTATAAGTACCAAAAATGGAAGGTAAAATAGATAAAACCACACAGTTTTGGAGGCTGGAGGGTAAGCAAAGTTGAACAAATGAAGGACTGAGGTTTGGGACACAGACCATCAGGATCTAAAAAGTAAGTAGCCCTCAATTCCAAAGCATGTCAAACACATATCGACACCAAAATGCTCAGAAAGGAAACAATCTCATTCCAACTATTTGGTACCATCCTAGGTACTCACTCAGAACAATACACAGACCTTACCATCAAGAAACGTATTGCCTTTCAAGTAGGGAAGATGTATATACAAATAAGTGTATACAAAATGACACACTACTAGCATTTATTTACTTATTTATTTACTTCCAGTATCTTAGAACTAGGCATTGTTCTAAGCTTATTATCACCATATCTATTAACTAATTTAATCCCATGAGGTTGGTCTAATAATATCTCACCTATGCAGATGAGCCATAGAGAGGTTTAAGCAATGTGTCTGGGACTCACAATTATTAAGTGGACAAATTGGATTAGAAGCCTGGCAGAAGATAAGAGAGTTTATGACCTTGCTAAAGGGCTTGAAATTCACCCTACTAATCAGTGGTCCCCAAGTAGGACTAGTGTATCAAAATCCATACCAGGCCCCTTACAGTAGGAAAAAGAGGGCATCCTAACTCTTGAGGATGACTGCCTTTGTAGGCCTCTTTTACTGTTGGGAGGGTACCCCCCATCCTGTACATGCTGGGGTAAACAAACAAAAATGGAGCACTGCTGTTATACAGGCAATGAGAATTCACTGGGCTCATGAACAGACAACTCCAAAAACACCACTCACAAGGGGAAAAAAATGTAGCAGTGAGTCTAGTCACACTAGCTCGTAAGGTCCTAGCCTATTTCCATAAAATTTAATGCTACCTAAACAGGTAGCATGTTTATATTCATTTCCTTTAGGTGTAGGTAACAGTTTCCTGCTACAAACTCAGATGTTTAATACACCGCACTGGACAACCAGTCACCACCCCTTTGCTGCTCTCAAAATAATTTTATTTACAAGAGTATTTTCCCCATTGGCATTTCCCACACATAGATTTTGGTAATCAAGAATACTCTTTACCACAACTTACCTGTCCCCTTTTCCCTCTTTGAAACAGCTATCCTGATTTATATCAGTACAAAGTTTTGCCTATGCAGAATCATGGGGCAGCAGAAAACATTTCACCTCTTACTTCATAAAGAGGAAAACAAGTCTCAGAGAGGGAAAATAACCTGCCCAGGTTAAACTAGCCAGTGAACACAGAACTATGACTTGAACCTGGTTCTTTGCCACCAAGCCCAGTGACAGAGGCTTACAACTATTGATAAGCAGGATGCTTTTAAATAGCTCACAAACATTTATTTTGATAGTTATGCACATAAGAAATATAATCACCACACCTAATCCAGTTTCACAAGCATTATTGCTTAGGGCAGTGTGTTTATGCTTTTTAAAAATTGAGCTGGATTTAGTAAGTAAGACCAATTCAAGAAATATACAGAAAATTAAGAAGGGATGTATACAAGTGACTCAAGTCTTGGAAACAAGGCACCACATCTCTCTCCTAACTGAAGAGTTAAATTAATAGCAATAGGGAATTAAGCACTGATCTCCTTGCCTGTAATTCATATCCTTTATTTCTTTTTCTTGTCTTATTGTATTGGCTAGACCTCCAGTACAATGCTGAAAGGCCACTACTGATAGCACCTTTATCTGACTGTAAATTTAATGATACTTCTAAAGTAAGGTTTAAGTAACTTTTTTTTTAGGTTTTCAGTAGATACACTGTTTTTGAATTTATGGAAATTCCTTCCTATTCCTTGGCTCAGTGAAATTTTTTGAATACTTCTCTCTGACCCACCCCTCTCCCTTCTCCATGCTGCCTTCCAGGCCTCTTCCTTTTTCTTATTTCAGATTTCTTCCTACATTCTCTGCATCTCAAATTACTATATTTGCCACTATAAATAACTGAGACTCTTTGAAGATACTCTGTGGGTTCTATACCTGTCTGCTGTTTCAGTTCCCTGAATCAAACTGCTTCTAAAACTGATAACTGAAAGAAATCTTAAAACACTGTTCCCATCATTTGCAGAGCATTTCTTCCTTCCATGTCTCAAACACACCCCCAAATGCCTTCTGTACTTTAGAAGAAAAACTCAGGAAATGAACAAAATTGTTCTGGATTTCTGTTAAATTCTCCAACTAAGAGCTTAAATCTGAGAGCTGGCTTAAGTAAGTGACTAAGAAAGAAAATCTCGAGGGTTTTAAAGAAGTTTTGAGAGAGGCAGTTGGATCCAGATGTTCATAACTTCTATCTTTCTCCTTTGCAAAAACGAAAAATACTGAAGAAAAAAGTAAAGGGCTAGAGGTAGTACTTGTCAACAAACATGGTAGTTCCAAGATATAAAAACTGAAGAGACAAGAAGGGGGGAAAAATCAACCCTTTAAAGCCCAAACAAGTTACGAATTCTTTCCTCATCAGTTTTTCTTTCAAAACAAAAGGGCACATAATCTTTCCCGAGGCAGCAACACCGAGGGGAGCAGCCAAAATGTTGCATCATACAAAACACTCGCGCTTGAGAAACAAGAAACCAGATGGTGGTAAAATACCTAAGACAGGAAAACCCAAGTTGGGAATCTCGGTCTTTTCCGGAGGCCCAGGAATGTCTGCTCTTTTTAAAATATTTTTTCAGATGGAATCGAAAGTTAAAGTTACAGTTTTCCACAGCCGGGAGTGACACGCTCTTTCAGAAAGTATTCAAGCAAGTTCAGCTCACGACAGCGCTGAGGCTTCGCCTCCCGGGCTGGGAGTGGACTTGGATAGAAAGCCGAGGGCTGAGGTGGGGTGGGGTCGGGCGCCCCGGCGGTGGCTTGGGGAGAGGGGGGTGACAGGACCCACCCCCCGCCCCGGTCCCAGGAATTGGGGCCTCCGGGGCCCCGGGGTGGCGGCGCGGGTGGAGGGAGAAGCTCGCCCCACCCGGACGCGGGACGATGGTGAGGCATCCGCCGGGGTCCCCGCGGCTGGAGGCGGTGCCCGCCCTCCCTCTCCGCCCCGCAGTGCTGGCTTTCTGGGATCCCGGTCCCACCCCGGCTCCCTCGACCGGCCTCGGCGGCGGGAAGGCGCGGGTGGGCCCAAGACAATGGGCCGGGGGCGCGGGAGCAAACCTCCCCTCCAGCCCGCTTGCCCTGCGCCGCGTGGGGGCGCCGCGGCTGAGAAGCGCCCAAGGGCCGCCGCCCCCTGCGGCCCGGCGGGCGCAGGGCGGGGTGGGGGGTGGGGGGCGGTGTCGGCTCTGGGAGGACGGGACGGCGGCGAGCGCTCACCTTGACGAAAAGCTCGATGATGGGCTCTTTGTCCTCCTCCTTCAACCCGTTCAGCGGCATCGACAACGCCATGGCCGGTTCGGCTGGACTCCGCGGACGGCGGCGGCGGCTGTTTCTGCTCCGGGACTGCTCTGGCTACGGGCTCCCGCCGCGCTGCAGCACCCTGGGCTGTCCTGGCGTCTAGCTCGCCTCAGCCTCCGTGCCTCAGGCTCGTCTCCTCAGCACCGCCCCACGCCCCGCGCGCGCGACTCTGAGGCGGCCGCAGCCCCGGCCCCTTCAAGTCGCGGAGGCGGGGCGCCGGGGGCGGGGCCTCGGCTGGGGGCGGGGCTGGCGTCTCAGGACTCTCCAGTGGAAAAGTGGGGGGCCGGGGCTCGGGGGCGTGGTCTCGGCCAAATGGGTGTTGAGGTGGAGCGGGGGGTTGGCGGCAGAAGGATGGCTCTGGCCCCTGGAGGCTGTTGAGGCGGCTTGACCTCGGCTCAGGGGCGTGGCGCCGGTGGGGACCAAGAGAAGTCTGGGCTTGGGCGAGCGGAGGGCGGGACTCCGAGCCTCGCCTCCCGAGGTGGGGCGGAGGGGAAGGTCCCCCGGGGACCAGCGCCTGACACCGCCTCCCGCCGAAGCGCGGGCGCGTCCTCGCAGCTGCTACTGGCGCTGCGCCAGGTGACCTCAGCCTTCGGCCGGCCTGGAGAAGTGAGAAGGCATCTCCCGCCCTCTCCCGTCTGCTGCAGCCCCCCAGCACTCGTCGCCCTTTCCCTCGGCAGTCGCCTCCCCCCAACACCCTCAATTAGGCAGAGCTCCCTTCTGCCTCTTCGGAGAAAGTTTTCATCCCCTTAGAAGCACTGTTTTATCCTTCCTCTCTGACTTCTCCGTTTTCCCTTTTGACTCTCCCGTCACTTCTGTCTTGGGAGCCAGCGTATTAACAAATATTTATAAGGCCCTACAGTGTGCCTACCCCCACCGCCCGCAGTAAACAGCACGGACCTTGATCCCTCTCCGCGGAGAGCCTAAGGTCTTGAACTGAACGCCTTTGCCCGAGGCTACGAAGGACTCTCACGCCGTTAATCCATAGGGTTCCTCTTCCCCGAAGTGATTTCCTTTCCCCATCCACCTGGCAAACCTGAAGTGTGTATCAGAATCACCTGGGCGCTACTCCCAGACCTGCTTTACCCAATTCTCTGATTCTCCTCCGGAGGGGAAGGGACAGATTGCCATTTTAACAAGCACCGGGACCTTTTTGATGCGGGTGGTCTTCAAACTGGAAAAATTCTACTGGGATTTGAAGTCCTTGAGGACAGTGGCGGTATACTTTTGAGTCAGGCAGGAGGTAAGCACCGGTCTGGTTTTGCGACTGATGAACGCCTGGAGCAAGTGTCATCCCCTCTGGAAACAGTTACTTGTCCCCTCTTCTAACTTTCGGTAACGCATGACTCAGCTACTCCTCCCCACCTCCTAGCTTAAGTTGAAGGCTGAGTCCTGAGAGGATCAGACTGACGTTTATCTCTCCACATCTTCAGAGCATAGCACTTGTCAGAATGTTTTAACAAACTGAACGTGTGTGTGAAAATATAGTGAAACCTGCAGCTCCTCCCTCTCCCAGTCCATAGCGTGTTGCTCAAATTCTTTTACAGGAACTCTGTTAAAGAAACATCCTACCCCAGGGGTTAGGAGCACATGATCTAGATAGAGTCAGCCTAAGCCCTGAAACTGCAAGATCCTTCAATCCCTGCCTGTTCAGTCACTCAGTTTGCAACCCCATGAACGGTAGCCTGCCAGGCACCTCTGTCCGTGGGATTCTCCAGGCAAGAGTACTGGAGTGGGTTGCCATTTCCTCCTCCAGGGGATCTTCTCGACACAGGGATCGAATCAGCATTGGCAGGCAGATTATTTTACTACTGAGCCACCTGGGAAGCCCCAACTCCCTAAGCCTCAGTTTCATTCTCTAGATGGGGGTGGGGCTGTTACTGGGCCTTCCTTACCTCACCTCCTGCTTAGTCAGTGATAGCTATTATCACTACTCTAGGCCTCCTACTGTCCTTGTCCACCCCTGCAGGCAAGGATGGCATCATACTCAACTCTCTGAGACCAGCCCATTTGTTGAAAAGAAGTAAATGCTAGGAGGCTGTCCCCGAGATGGGAACCCAAACCAAAAAAAAAAAAAAAAACAAAACAAAAACTGAAGTGCCAACTGAACCTAGTATTAGTTCTTCATGGAGTCAGGAAAGTGAACCAAAGTTTGCTTCCAGTCTCTACCTGCCTGAAAAGGAACCAAAATGGTGAACCAGTTCAAAGCAGATCCAGGTCCAAAACAATCAAATGGTACCTCCAAGATGACCCCAGACTGGCCCTGAGGCAAATGAGTATTTCCAGGCAGTTCTGTTTTCCAAAGATTGCCTGGTGGTCATCAAATTCAGCTTGAATCAATCACTGTTACCTGTGGTGAGTGTCTGCTGACAGCCCCATGCTGGCCTCTCGGCCGAGGACATGAAAGTGACCAAGGCGTGGAGGGATGAGCCGACCAGGAGTTTTTAGGACTTATTGAGGCAGATCCTAACTGAGAGGAAGCCACTGACATCCTCCCTCACAGAACCTTGAGGCAGTGATGATCTCCAAGGCTGAGACCCAGAGCCTGTGCTTAGAAATCTGATCACAGTCACTTATACCTACATTTCCCAATTTCCACCACCATGTGGCTTGCATGAATGGGCAGAGCCAGTCCAGGGAGAGGTAGAAAGGGAGAGAACCAGGAAGTGTATGTAGGGGAGGGTCCACAAGCATATTGCATTTAAGTCTCATATTCCAGTATTGAAATGCATGCATGTTTTACATTCTGTATTGTTTTGTTTTTGTAACACACACACACAGATCTTGAAGTCAGATAGAGATGTGTTCTCCTCCCTCCTCCACCCCCACCCGCTTTTGACCTCATCTCTTATTCCTCTAGCCTTTGCTCTCTATCCCAGGCACACCTGCTTCCTTGCTATTCTTTGAATGTGCCAAATGCCCTCTTGCCTCAGGGCCTTTGCACTTGCTATTCTCCTTCTCTGGAACATTCCTCCCCCAGAGGAACATTCTTCCCCCCAGGATTCCTACAATTCCCGTTCCCTTGCCTCCTTCAGGTCTTTGCTCACATACCTCTTTCTCAGGAAAATCTCCTCCAATACCATCCTACTCAATATTGCAAATGGTTCAAGCTCATTCTACTCTCCACTTTATTTCTCTCCATAACACTTATCACCCTCTGAAATACATTTTACTTGTTTATTTGCTCATTGTCTCTCTCCTGCCACTAAACATCAATTCTATGAGGGCAGAACTTTTTGTTTGATTTTTGGTTATGGCTGATATTCCCAGCTCATATAACAATTCATAATACAGAGTAAGAACTTATGGAATGGGCGTATGTGCCTTGTTTAAGCTACAGTTTCCTGTACCCCTGATGTACCCTTTGGAAGGTCTTGTTCACCCTTTCTGAGAGGCCAGGTGGTTTGTGTTTGTCTATGATTGCTGCTACATGAGAAGTCAGGTTTTCCAAAGGGCAAGGTGGCACCTCCAGAAAGCCCCCACTACTGGCACAGGTGCCTCTTCCCAGTCCTGATTCTGTAGTGCTGCTCTAGCTGACTGTCTCAAACCCACTCTGTGCCACTGAGGCAGCGAAGAGCTAAACACGTGGACTCTGTGTCAGACTGCCTGGGTCCCAGTTCTGCCACTGTCGTTTGCTGGCTCAGGATACCTTATTTAACTTGACTGTGTTCCCTTTGCTCCTCTGTAAAATTGGTCTAAAAATAGTAACTAATAATAGTTATGCTTTTCAATGAGTAAATAGGATTGTGGATAAGTAAATGCATCTTAAATGCTTGTAATGGTGCCTGGTGCATGCTAAGTGCTGCTTAGGAAGAACTGTTGGTCTTAAACCCATCTGTCCTTAATCTCCACTACTGAACTCCCTGCATTCTAGATATCTGAGTGTTTTTATATCCAATCACATTTATTCCTCATGGGGACTTCCCTGGGGGTCCAGTGGTTAAGAATCTGCCTTCCAATGAAGGGAATGTGGATTTGATCCCTGGTTGGGGAACTAAGATCCCACATATCATTGTTCAGTCCCTAAGTCACATCCAACTCTTTGCGACTCCATGGCCTACAGGCTTCCCTATCCTTCACTGTCTCCCAGAGTTTGTTCAAATTCATATCCATTGAGTTGATGTTGCTATCTAACCATCTTATCCTCTGCTGTTCTCTTCTTTTGCCTTCACTCTTTTCCAGCATCAGGGTCTTCCAATGAGTCATCTCTTCACATCAGGTGGCTGATGTGAAGCTTTGGAACATTTGGAGCTTCGGCTTCAGCATCAGTCCTACCAATGAATACTCAGGGTTGGTTTCCTTGAGAATTGATTCATTGAATCTCCTTGCAGTCCAAGGGACTCTCCAGAGTCTTCTCCAGCACCACAATTAGAAAGCATCATTTCTTCAGTGCTCAGCTTTCTTGGGAGAAGGCAATGGCACCCCACTCTAGTACTCTTGCCTGGAAAATCCCATGGACGGAGGAGCCTGGTAGGCTGCAGTCCATGGGGTCGCTAAGAGTCGGACACGACTGAGAGACCTCACTTTCACTTTTCACTTCCATGCATTGGAGAAGGAAATGGCAACCCACTCCAGTATTCTTTCCTGGAGAATCCCAGGGACAGGGGAGTCTGGTAGGCTGCCGTCTATGGGGTCGCACAGAGTCAGACACGACTGAAGCGACTTAGCAGCAGCACCAGCAGCCTTCTTGATGGTCCAACCCTACCATCCATACATGACTGCTGGAAAAACCATAGCTATGACTACACAGACCTTTGTTGGCAAAGTGATGCCTCTGCTTTCTAATATGCTGTCTAGGTTGGTCATACATAGCTTTTCTTCCGAGGATTAAGCATCTTTTAATTTCATGGCTGCAGTCATCGTCCACAGTGATTTTGGAGACCAAGAAAAGAAAATCTGTCACCACGTTCACTTTTTCCCCTTCTATTTGCCTTGAAGTGATGGGCCCAGATCCCATGGTCTTAGTATTTTGAATGTTGAGTTTCAAACCAGCTTTTTCACTCTCTTCTTTCACCTTCATCAAGAGGCTCTTTAGTTCCTCTTCGCTTTCTGCCATTAAAGTGGTATCATCTGCATATTTGAGGTTGTTGATATTTTTCCCAGCAATCTTGATTCCAGCTTGTAACCAGCCCAGCAGTTTGCATGG